TATCCTAGTACAGTAACCACAACCATTACAACAATAATCAATTACACTTGTTAACAGTTAGTTATAACTGGGTCAAAAATCTTACTAACATTATAAATGTGAAAGTTTGTGTGTTTGTTTGTTTGAAGTTCAATCACGCATAAACTACTGGACGGATCCGGCTGAAATTTGGCATGATGGTAGCTCACATTCCCGATTAACATATGTAACGAGCCTTTTTCCTAGGGGGGTAAATATTTGCTATTTGGCCGTGCACCGATTGTTGGGGTAAGCAAGCGGCGGCGGCGAACCTGGCTAGCACCCTTTGACCCGGCTTATCAGTTCGGATAAGCTTGGGTATCCTGGGACTACCGGATAGCCGAGCAGGACATTCTAGTGGTGGATCTCGTAGAGTGAGGAGACGAGTGTTGGTGTCCTGTGTAGACGAGTGGAGTACTTTGGTGACATCGGTGTCGTGGTCGTGGGATATTGGTGCTCAAGGCGTGTTGGTGGCAAGTTGGGTAGTCAGACAGTGACCCACTTGTGGTGAGTGGACGACTTGATATTATTAGAGTTGATAATATTAATCTCTGATTTTATTGCGAGAGTTAGAGTTGTAACCGTGCTGGTCAAAGCCTGACGGTAATTAGGATTTATTAGTCAGGAATAATATTAAAGTGTATTCCTGACGGTTCTGGGCAGGTGCTAGAGCGCAAATGATATAATTTATTGACTGTAGTAGTTATTATTTTGCGTTGTACCAAGAGTTAGTTATATTACTAATAACTCTGAGGCCCGACAAACCTAGGCTGCACGATTTAGCGTGCGTAGTTGGAAGCACGAGGCCAGTTTGTAGGCTAGTAGCTAATTTTATTAGCCTATTAACAGAAGCCCAGCTAAGCAATATAACGTTGATATAGTAGCAGTAGTGGTAGTAGCAGTAGGGTTGGTATTGGTTACTCATTTAATTATTTTAATTTAACCTGAACAGCTTGCTTAGTAATCCAACACGTTATCTTGGTAGCTTGGATAGCGGAGTACCGGCTATCAGATAGGCTAATATATTTATCTAGTGTTTGGAACGTATTCAATATTTATTTAACTGCTACTAAGTAGCTCAATATTTTAATAGTGCAATTACCATTTAGTTTTGCTTGTTTGGCTTGGTATTTATTGAGACCAGCTACTAGTGGTGTAGTCACTCTACCTATAGTGTACTTGTATAATATTGTGTGGTACGATTATTGAGTGGACTGTTTGATTCTTAGCTTGGGCATTAGAGTTGTGCATTGGATTATAGTGGCCTAGTAGACCCTAGTGATAACTCGCGTTGTGGTTTTGATTGGCAAGTCGTCGTGTAACTCACTGTGTTTTAGGCACTCCGGGCTTAACTATTGGATAGTTAGGACGAAGCCCGAGTTGCGTAGTCAGCAACGACCCCCTAGGAGTGTGGAGAATCGGCGTAGGCCTGGTAGTGATTATTGCACGTTTGTTTTGGTGACTTGTTTTTGACTTGTTCACAGTGCCCGTGTATGAGCCAGTCCTATACCGGTTAGACCCGGCTTTTGGCCTAGTGGTTTCCCTGACCTTATCGCAGACCCTGGAATTTTACCCAGCCATTGTAGGCTGAGCTATCCTTGGCAAACGGTTGCGACTGCACGCACTTTTAATATTATTTTTCCAGTGCAGAAAACATCGTCGCACATATAGGCATATTCTTATCTCAAAAATCCTTTCGGGCACCACCCCAGTGGCTCTGTAGTTTCCCATGTTAACTTTATGATGAGTATTCATATTTAAAGGGAATAAAAGAATTTAGTCAGCTGTTTCAACTAAAAAAGTTGGTTCTATGTAAAAGCATTAAAAGTTATAAGATTTACCAACAGGGTGCAAAACTATATTTTTTTTGCATTTATGAAAACAGCTAATTATAACTAAGCAGCAACAACAAACTGTGGTATGCCATGAGAACTGTCAAGGTAGGATTGTTTACAGTTGTGTTTATGTTTTTAATTTCATGAATAATTTTTGATATTTTATGAACTTTTAATCATTTGTTTTTCTCTATTGTTCAGATGAAGTGGTGGAATATTATGGCTATGGTATATGTGTAATACTATAGTATACTGTAAATTTAAAGAAGCAAATTTTATCAACATGTGTCCTCCCCCATTGCAAGTTCCAAGTTTGAGTTCAATATAACTGCAATAAGCATTTTTTTACTTATATGCCAACCCCGTATACGAAGGACGGGTACTCTGTTAGTAATTAATATAGCAATTGAAAGTTCTATAGCAAATAAGTTGTCACAAAAGTAAGTATATTTCATATTTCATCTATCGTATTACCTTTAATGCGGCCAATGACGATATATGACGATATAGCGATAGTTAGCAACCATAATCAATGGGAGTACAATAAATGTTATGGGCATAAAAGTAAAAAATTGAGTCATTAGAAACCAAAGATCCACATTAATTGTAGGTAACATTTGTAAGTTTATTTGTTGTGAAAAATTAACTACAGTTTTTCTATACTTCCACAGTCTACCACTGTAGGCCTACCGTTACTGTAGTTTTGTGGAGGTTCACTTTAGTTATCGAACACAAATGATTCTAAATACTGTACAGTCTTCAGCACCTTCCAGTACTAATTCCTGTGTAACACTTACTTTTCTGTTTACTGTTTGGATCCTTCACAGTTCAAAGAGACTTATAACGAAATATCACACTCTTTACAATATCCACAAATTACTGGGCTGCGTATTCTTCATTAAATTTACCTTTACACGAACCTTCTTCTACAATACTTTCATTTTTTAATTTTATACCTACATGGCAGGACAATAAGAGCAAGTAAATTTGCATTTACACAATTAGACTTCTAATAAATGTTTTTAAATTGTAGATAATAATATACCTTAAACAAAGATAAATGAATATTAAACTGAAAGATAGTAACGGGGGACTGATCCTTGCTGAGTTTGGTTAATTACATTTAATTGTTAAAGAAATATACTACACAGACATGTTTTATTACAATACAAATATAATTCTATTAAATACCATAGAAATTTCATCGCAGAACTAATAACAACTTGAATAAGGTATGCAATTAAAAAAGGAATATTTTAGATCCTACTCCAGTTTTTTTTAAACATTTATCATGCAAAATACGATTATTTTTATAGGTAAGGGGCATAATTTATCTCTCTGTACCACACTAGACTTTTCGTTGATTAGTTGAAGCCGAAAACTGATAAGTCCTATTGGAGCATAAATCTTTTACTGGAAAGATTATTTTAATGAAATAATTAATTTCAATAATTATGTAACTAATTAGACCTGTCCATATTTTGTTTCAACTATAAAAAATAGTGTTTACAATTTGTACAATCTACCATTAAATACGGGTGAAACATTGAGTTGACGCCTGTGCACTCAAACGACACCAACTGGAAACACATTTATTGAAAATAATTGTTGTGCATTTGATAACAATATATCACTATTATTTAAACAAATTAAATGCTAAATTGATTCGTTTACGATAGCATACTTTTAATAAGCGGATTTAAAACAATTGCTTTATTTACACAATATTCGTCAATTAATAATCTGAGCCCTATCTATAATTACAGTGCCTTGTGATTCAGAACGCAACCCATATACATCACAGTTACGCAAACAGTATTTGAATAGTAAAGGGAGTTAATGTACAAATGTTGGTCAGTCGAACGCACGGGAATCGAGTAGTCAATTTTTTAAACAGTTTAATTCAGAACAGCTATTTACACATATAAAGACCAAAAAACTATGTCGTATAAGTCAATTCTCATATCTTCAACGATTAAGCGATAGTTTGCAGAACAATAAGTATTTTCAAACATGACTTAAAATTGTTACAACAACACCTTTTACTTAGGTACACAAATTGAATCTCCAACAAAACTTGATTAGACGCAAATGTTTGATATACAGTTGAACATTTTACATTTCCTGATAAAACACATTCTTTGTAAGGAAAAAATTACATTTCACTTGAATTAGGTTACAGCAGACATTCGCTAGTTGTGGGGAAAACTAAATATAATTTAACGTTACAATTTCAATTTAATTAAATTTGAAACTACCTGTTTGTTACAACAACCGGAAACAACTTCAAATATTTAGCGTTGGTTACTAGTACACTATTACAACTTAATAATTCAGCTCAAATAAACCACGACAAATTCATTATCTTTTCATTTTTCAAATGATTTATTCTAGATTCTCTTACGGAGTAAACAAAAATTGTCATAAGCTATAAAAATAAGTTATTATTTGTTTAAGACGTTTGCCAGATAATTTAGTATTGTTATTGTCAAGGTTAATACTTAAACCATCTTTTAAGAATAAAAATAAACACGTTATTTTACTTTTGAAAATAAATAGTAAACAATACCAACACTAGCCCTGCATGCCTTCAAAATCCCATATATACATGTATGTATGAATGCGTGTGTATTTAAGTGTGTGTACTTGAAAATACTAATACAAAAATATTAATTAAAATATCAATTAACAAAACAAATAACCATTAACGTTGCTGGTGACGACGTGTGTTTAAACGCCTTCAATCTGAGAGACGCAACAGTTCTAGCGTTTTGGAACTTCCGATCTGATTACTAGAGTTTTGGATCTTCCGACCCGGCATATGATCACAAGTTCCAAAGTGAAAAGGACAGTCTATTTCATAAGTTTACTTTAAGAAATAAATTTGTACTTCTAGTTATGACTGTACTTTTGGATCTTACGATTTTGGAACTTCCGATCGGCAATATTTTCTTTGGATCTTTTGATTTTGGATCTTCCGACCCGCTAAATAACCTTTGGAAATTCCGATTTTGGAACATCCGATCGGCAATATAAACGTTGGATCTTACGATTTTGGAACTTCCGATCGGCAATATATTCTTTGGATCTTCCGATTTTGGAACTTTTGAAATACTCCCGTTTCGTTTCAGTTTCGTACCGTTCCGTTCCGTTAACCGTGCATCCATATCATTGTTGGTTATTATAACCTGTAAAATAGTTAAATTTTGGCTTATTTTGGTGAATTACTGAATTTAAGACTTTTTATTTGTGTGTTATAGTATAATAATTTGTTAATGATTGTTCTACCTTAGGCTAAGCTGCTCCCAATTCAGAACAATGCCATACCAACGTTTGCATTATGGTTTAACACTAGGCCTATTTTAGCCAACGTTTACCTTTCACATAGTTTTTAAGCTAGACACAATTGCTATTTCTTAACAGAAAATATATACATATTATAAACTCATCACACTTTTATAACATTTTTGCCATTTTAATTTGTTAACTAATATAAACAAGAAAATGGATCAAATGCTTCCTAGCCCGGGATTTAGCATCCCAAGCATTGGCACCCCTCTTCATCAACCAGAGGAAGATCAACAGATATTACCCATGGCTCAACAACAACAGCAAATGCAGATGCCTCCTCTGTTACCTATTCAACAACAAAATATATCCCCTGCTCAACAGAGGCCCATGCATACCTATGCACCGTCTATGGGATTCACAACTCCTCAAAGTATGATGCAGCCACAGACTCCGGTAAGATTTATTAAGCCATTTAGGCTGCACTTTAGGTCCTTCACAAACAAACGAATTAAAATATCGATTATTCGATTGTTTCATTCAATATATCGTTTGGTTAGTTAGGTTAAGTTAACCTACCTAACTATCCAAACGATATATCGATTGATATTTGCATTCGAATGAGTGTAGGACCTAAAGTAAAGTGCAGCCGCAATTTCTTGTAAAAAATAATATATCAGTGTAGGCCTAAGATCTAATGACACTTAACTAAGTAACTGAATAGGCCTACCGTACCGGTACCTAAAGTAAGCGCTGATTAACTTAGATAGGTAAGCTAACTTACTGAGCTTTCAGTATGAACCTTAAAGTAAGGATCCAATTTTGAACACATTTTTTCATATATTTCCGTTTTCTATCAAGATGTTATTTTTATAATTTTTAGCAACACATGATGTCGCCAATGGTTCATCAACATGGGTCGTCTGGACACCTGACTACACTGAACCCAGCCACTCCTGGCCCAATGACTCCTATGACACCATCCTCTGCTGATCCGAGCATAGTACCTCAACTGCAGTAAGTAAAACACTTGGGAATTAATAAGTGTTCATTATTCCTCTTTAAAAAATCCTCCAACTTTATAAGTTAACCTTCTTATAGGCCTATTATACTTAGGCGATCCAGAAAGTAAAGAACGTTTCGTTATGACGCCGCTAGGCGCGTGCCGATCTCATACATTTTGGTATGTGCGCACTCGGCATCTCAGTCGGCATCCAGCCGTGACAATTGGAGCATTCTAGCGCTGCCCGTTTTTTCACAATTTCAACTTAAGATGAGCGCTGCAATAAAAAATCCCACCAGTTAAGGGGTGCGGTCAGTGATACGGTTTTTGTTGGAAAACACTTAAAACCGAAACTTCTCAATTTTCACAGACTTTGTTGTTTAAAATTGTCACGCAACAAAGCGAAAGACCCGTTATCGGGAATCGGCGGTTTTTGCGAACCTTTTCATCAACTTTAGCGACCAGTTCCATCAGTCATAATGCTCGAGCGTCTGCCCTTCGCTTCGTCATGACTCATGAGCGTCAGATCGGCCATTTTTAATCTGAATGCACCATTTTCTCAGAACTTTCAATCATTACGTTTTTTTCCTTAAACTTCATACCCTTGGCGATAAATGTCTATCGATTTTAAGTTTAATGCCAACACAAACCGTATCACTGACCGCACCTCTTAACTGGCGGTATTTTTAATCGCAGCGCTCATCTTAAGTTGAAATTGTGAAAAAAAACGGGCAGCGCTAGAATGCTCTTGTTGTCACGGCTGGACGCCGACTGAGTTGCCGAGTGCGCAAGCACCAAAATGTACAAGATCGGCGCGCGCCTGGCGGCGTCATAACGAAACGTTCTTTACTTTCTGGATAACCCACGTATTAGGCTACCTACATTTTTGTATTATTTAAGTTAGATTTAAGAATTAGAATTCAGAATTCAATAGGCCTAATAGTTATATTAGTTTGCTATAGGTAAGCATAAGCTAACTTGTGTTATAGGCCTAATTCTTTATTTAAATGTCGTTATCGCATAACCACCATAGCAACCCTTAAAGCTACCGGTACCGATTGTAAAACATTTTATGTTAGGCCCTAACTTAGTTTTTAACAGGGATTTTCAAATTTAAATTTATTTGTTGTAAGTAACATGCTCATTGTTTGCCGGAATAACCCTATTAAGTTTGGCTTCAATATGTTCAGCGGTCATTGCGTGACTCAATTTCAAAGTTTGCATAAGATCCGATCTCAAAGGGCTTCTCTCCGCTCACTCAGCTCAACTAGGCCTACTTTTCATTGTCGTGGTTATTTTGTCTCCGGGAAAACTTTTTTAAAATCAAGTAGCCATTGGAAGTAAATCAGGTAGGCCTAAGCCTATTTACAGTCCATAGTTGGAAATATTTTTACATGTTAGACCTAATTTGAGATTGACTTTGTAGAAACATTGTCTCGACTGTGAATCTGGGCTGTAAGCTGGACCTGAAGAAGATAGCGTTGCATGCCAGGAATGCGGAGTACAACCCAAAGCGGTTTGCGGCTGTAATCATGAGGATACGTGAGCCACGGACGACGGCTTTGATCTTCAGTAGCGGCAAGATGGTGTGTACGGGAGCCAAAAGTGAAGAGGACTCTAGGCTGGCTGCAAGGAAATACGCCAGGATTATCCAGAAACTAGGGTTCCCGGTAAGAACTAATCATATTTTATCATCAAAACCAATGACGTTTAGTAAGGAAGCACCTCAACCACTTTTAATAACACTCCTGTCGCAGTGTTAACTGTCAGACGTATTCCCAATTTCAAAAATATTAAGTTTGGTTTAAGTATGCTACAAGGAAGAAAAATGTGTTTTTTGTTGAAATGTCAGTAGTATGGTACCAAATCAATACATTTGGCCTAATGCAAACTATAAACAAGCTAACTTATACTTTATTTCTCCATTAGAATAACATGGAGATTTTTAATTGCCCTTTTTTGGATTTTCTCTGTTGTCTCTTTAATCCTTACGATACAACGCTTCAATGTGAATCAATTAATTGTTTTTAGCAAATTTCCCTATAGGGTCAATCGATATCAAGTGATCCAGAAATAAAATAATTGGTTGCTTGACCATTTTTAAAATAATAATTTTATCCTAGATACCTCTATCAATTCTGGGTTCAAAAGTGATTTTAATTTTTTTTTATCTCTTTTGTTACTTCTACGGCGGCCATTTTTGTTTTGCGGAACACGCAAAATTTTGCTCATGTAAGGGTTTGCGTTAACTTGCACAACTCGGTAACCATGAACACAAGAGTGATGAACCGTAGTTGGCACGGTAAGACTTAGGCCCGATTTACTTTTTAATTTTGATTTATAGGCCAGTAAAATTAGATAAAAATAATACATTTTGAGGAATTAATTCCCAGCAAGCTGGAAATCGTTTTAATACCTTCATTTGGTCCCAAATAAGTGTAATCTGAGTTTGCACCGTCCTATGAGGTGAGCTTACATTATGGCAGCCTAAAATAAATTAAATTTAAGCACTTTTTCCAGTTTTTTCCAAGTTGCTTAAAAACAGTGTGTCGGACGCAAACAACGTCCTAATAATATCAAAGAGGATTAAATTCTGCATAAAATGAGTATATAAATATCCAAATTCGGTTAAGTAGTACAGTATAGCCAAAATATTAAGTTTTAAATATATAATTTTTTTGTTTCATTGCATTTTACATTTTGCGACTTTCCAGAACCCCATACTATCTTTGAAAGAAACACACCCATGACAATTTCCTTCTTCATACGAAGTAAGAGTGGGGAAAACAGCTGATCAAGTATTCCCAGCTGTTTGCAGTTGTATAGTACAGCAATTTCATTGCTAAGTGGCTGTCATCAGTTACTTTGGAAGTAAAGTTATTATAAGTATTTTAAAAATAATTGAGGACATTTACTAATATTTGTATTCGTTCAAGAAAGTGTTATAACGTAGTGATCTGTTATCTAAGTTTTGTGTTTAACATGTTCGGACATGCAATCCTGAGTATTTAATCTGTTTAATTTTAACCATCCTAGGAGTTAAACTCATACCACTATCGCAGCCTAAAATAAATTAAATTTCAGAATTTTATTTTATCTTTTGCTTGTAGCTAAAAAATAGTGCACCAGACAAATACATAAATATTCAAATTTGGTACAGTAGCACAGCCAATATCTTTGTTAAGAAATAGATAACTTTTTCGTCTTATTGCAAACTATATTTAGCCCTGGAAAGTCGACATCCCATCATACCACTGACCACCATAAGAAAAAATCGATAGAATTACAGTTGTATAGTATAATATAACACGTTAAAAAGGTATTTCAATTGTAAAATTTCACTCATTTTTAAAGACTTAATTTTGCATAAACCTTAAAATCGGGTTCCATAAACTGTCCTCTTGGCTGCACATCCTACATGTTAGGATTTATCTCAAGCTGCAGTGGACTGTCAAAGAGACTGTCCTCACATGTTTCTGCTTCTACGGTGTTTGGTATGTGGGACACACCCTCAACTTGAAACTGCTGAATTTAAGCATGACTGACCATGGTAGCTAAGGCAAATTGTTGAGCATTCCATCTACTTTTCGGCAGCTGCACTTTCCTGTACACGCATGACACTATGTTGAGGATTTAAGTTGTAGCTGGATTCTTTGTGTTTATGGTTGGGAGTAAACCATGTTCCGCCATCCTCCAACCCCAGTTGAGCGGATCCACTGGTCTATCATACCAGCTCTGTATTTAGTGTTAGACTCGTAGAAAGTGTTGGGCGGCGACTGTATTTGTTAGTGGTAGGGAAGCTATATATAGAAAGTTAACTTTGAAATGGATTTTGAGAACATCCCATAAGGAATTTTGTTCAGTGAGGTATTATTGGCTTTAGATGATTGTCACAAACAGTTGACCTGCTTAAAATTAGGCCCTCAGGATGAGCATATGTATGGTGGAAAAGCTTTACAGCCCCCAGCAACGTGTTCTTCTCAAGGAGTTTTATAATCTTCAACTTCACTTGGCGATAGAATACAGATAGTATTTCACCCACTGATTGCATATAGGAACAGAAGGTTCTCTTTGACAGGAGATAGAAGTTGAAATGCCTCAGAGTATGTTCTAAGAGGTCCACATTCCAGATTTCCTGAGGTAAAGATTTGAGGAATTTGGTGCTTTGGCGGTTAATAGGACCAATAGATCTGTGTCCTATTCAATTATTATGACTTTCGCAAAGTTCTCAGCCATTTGAATGGCAGTGTTGACAATGAGGGTATCAGCATCCTCAAGAGCTTGTCCGACTTCAAACCCTTGGAGCACTTGCTCACTCAGCATGGAGATAAGCGGTCCTTTGTTGTTGTAGTTAGAGAGAAATTGTTCTTTCAGCATTGTTGCAGTCAACATTTTAGTAAAAATTACGTTTGCTAAGGATTGCTTGATTATTATTATCATTATTCCTTGTTGTTTCACAGAAGTTGAGGCCTCAACATGTAAAAGTCTATACTCAGGATTGCATGTCCGAACATGTTAAACACGACACTTAATATCATGAAGATAACAGATCACTAAGTTATAACACTTTCTTGAACGAATACAAATATTGGTAAACGCCCTTAATTATTTTTAAAATACTTATAATAACTTTACTTCCAAAGTAACTGATGACAGCCACTTAGCAATGAAATTGCTGTACTATACAACTGCAAACAGCTGGGAATACTTGATCAGCTGTTTTCCCCACTCTTACTTCGTATGAAGAAGGAAATTGTCATGGGTGTGTTTCTTTCAAAGATAGTATGGGGTTCTGGAAAGTCGCAAAATGTAAAATGCAATGAAACAAAAAAATTATATATTTAAAACTTAATATTTTGGCTATACTGTACTACTTAACCGAATTTGGATATTTATATACTCATTTTATGCAGAATTTAATCCTCTTTGATATTATTAGGACGTTGTTTGCGTCCGACACACTGTTTTTAAGCAACTTGGAAAAAACTGGAAAAAGTGCTTAAATTTAATTTATTTTAGGCTGCCATAATGTAAGCTCACCTCATAGGACGGTGCAAACTCAGATTACACTTGTTTGGGACCAAATGAAGGTATTAAAACGATTTCCAGCTTGCTGGGAATTAATTCTTCGAAAAGTTCTAATTTGACTGGCCTATTATCCAGAGGCCAAAAAATAAAATTTTTTCTAAGTTATTATAATTATTATAATCAAATCAAAATTAGGCCTATTACAATCGATAATAATAAAGAGAGAGTTTTATATGTGTCCGTAAACGTGATGACTCAAGTAATTTTTGTCCGATTTTGATGAAATTTGGTTTAAAGGTGTAATGACTGTTTTGCATAATAATAATAATAATAATAAAGTGTAATGCAGGTAAACTTGAATGAGTTCGGGAACCAGCATGATCGGACCATAGGAATGTTAAGTTATGGGGTGTAAATTGGTTTTTCTCATTTTTGACCCTCAAAACACAAAATTTTCCATTTTCTCTCTAGACCTTTTTAAAGAGCCTAAAAAAACACAAATAATTTTGTATATCAAAGTGTTTTTGTACGGTTATTGATAGGTACCTAACGGAGAAAATTCAAAAATTTTAAAATTTAAAATTCCCAAGTTATTCTTACGGAGAATATTGTAAAATGTTGTAGTTTGCTTGTTTATCAAATACATTTATTTTATACTAAGGAACTAATATTTTATGGAAAACTACAGTTTATTAGTTTTAGCAGCAAACCTGGGTACTTGTTAAGCCTAATGTTATCAAATAGATTTAATTGTAAATCAATTCAGACAAATGGAAATTCGCTTAGTCAGCAGTTTTGCTGCGGCGGGGGTATTTTAAAGCTTTTTCAGCATTTTATTGTTGTAATGAAAATTTGTCATTTTAGCTTAATTTTCCATTTAGCCTAGGTAATAATTAGATCTCATGGTATGACTAGGACCCGGGAACGATTTACTTAATTTTGTTTTGAGGTTCTCACTGGCCAAAAATATTATCCGTTCAAGTTCGTATGTATATTTATCTATATATATATAAATTATTATAATTTCTTAGGTAGGCCTACTTTTTTTGTCCGTGCGCCATATCTTCCTTAATTATTCACTAATTTCCATAAACGAGGTGTCATTTCAAAGATCTTTTTATCCAATACATCAAAAGCCTATACAAATCACTCATTTTTCTGTAGTTTTTGCAAAACTATTGATTTTATCATTCTGAAAGTAGGCTAATTTAGACTTGTTTATTTATGTTATTCTATCAGCTGAAACATGTAAATTAAATTAATAAAAACAAACAAATATTTACTTTTCAAATCCAAGTGATTTGTTTTTACTACATCCGTGGAGGCCAACATATTTAGTCTGTGCTTTCTATGATAAATAAGCCTGGATATGAAATCACACTTGAAGTCTAAAGCACGGGTCACACTAGGCTACTCGTCAGCCGATGGTGATCAGCAGCTGGCACCAGCATCACCAGCTCACCAATCCAGGCTGTGTCAGCTCAGTGTCAGCTGCGAATTTTGTGGTCACATTAAGCTGACAGTCGCGGCTTCTTTCAATTCGCCGCTGATGCCAGCCTAGTGTGACCCGTGCTTTAACAAGAACAACTCAAAAGTAAGTAGCCTACTGTATGGATTCTTTAGCTATTGTATGTATTTATTT